CCCCATGAGAAGTTTTTTATCCACAGTATCAACCATATGCAAAGAACAGAATATCAGGTAGGATTTCGAAAGAACAATTATGCATTTTGCTTGAAACTGTAAACTTGCCATATGAATCAACACAAACAAATAAAATATGAACTTTTATGTTAAATGGAATATAAACAAAAGTAACTTTAGTCATAAAACATATAATTATTGGTTTGTTATCTATCATTAAAATAATATTCAATCACCAAAAATTAAAAAGATATCAAAACAACCTTGATGGTATGTTATTGGTATGAACTAGAGAATATGCTAATTAGTTAGTATGATGTTATAGGACCTTATATATTATATTCTGTAATAGCAAAAGTTAACGTTGTCTGGTATTTAGTACAGATCACATAAGATACGATTATATAACTTAATCTGGAATCAATAGAAGCCATAACTAAAAATATCAGGGGGTAATATTAAAGTAAAATTATTAAAATTTATTAAAACATATATATAATATATATATATATAATATATATATATATATAAATAGTATATAATAATAAAGATTTTAAAATTTATCTATATTCACTTCCTCAAAATTTTTGATTTAAAATAATCAACAGCTCTTTCATTTTAGGTTATCAGGTGGCAATTATGCAGCAAATGAGTTCTAGTTAATAGACTTTCAATTCCATCTATACAATATGTAGAGTCACTTGATATATGTTGTGCAATTGATAAGCCACTTAGCGTGTAACATGTATGATAAAAGTCTCTTGGTTTGCCAGGTTTATCTATCAATCCCCCTCGAGGACTTTGGCAAGCCATTAAAATATATTCTTGTAAACAATCAAATGATCAAATAAAATTTCTTTTGCCAATAAACTATTTTGAATTGTATCAATACTTTCAAAATTTTCCAATATGTTTTCACTACTTTGATTTTGTAAGATCAAAGATTGAATTATTGGAACAGTTGCACCTTGCCAAAAAGAATAGCACCCATCCACTAGTTTATTAGTTCGGCCTTGGAAGCCACCTTCAAGCCTCATTTGTCGATTCACAGTCCAGCGAAGTAAATTTTGAAGATTGCATGTGCTCGAGTTATTTAGAAGAGCAAGACCTGCAGCCCCACAAAATGAATAGCCACCATGTGCCTCATTGCCAGGTGAACTAGCAAAGCCTCCTTCATAGGTCTGACAACTAGCAATCCAGTTTGCAGTGTTTTCAAATAGTTTTGGATCCTCAATTCCAGACAATTTTGCTACTGCAATTGCACAATATGCCCCCCTAATATCCAATTCCCCATTTTCATGGAGACAAAAACCACCATTACATTCCCTAACAGTTAATAAGAAGTTATGAAGACTTGTTCGATCTATTGTTTCATAGGCCTGTGGTGTACTATATTAAAACCAAGGCATTCACTGCAGCGTAAGTAGAAGCTAAATGCGGCATTGATATGGACCTCCACAAAATCCTCCTTTTGGATCTCTGCATTTCTCAAGAAACAAAATACACGGTTTTGTAGATCCAGTGAAAATTTATGTCCAAGCAATGTTGCTGCATTCAATATCCAGACACACTAACCAGGGCCGACTCGAGTCGAGACATTCATAGCTTGTTGATAATAGCTCAGAGAGTTTGTAAGGAACTCTATATGATTTTGTCTCTTGAGTAAATTCATATCAGGTTCTATTTGCAATCTTAATGAGTAATCATAAAAATTTTGGCAACATCATTTTCAACCAATTCCTGTTCCTTTGATGTATGTGTGACATGATTCTCATGATTAAATTTTTGCTCTCGCACTTCATTGCACGTTCGTACAGAGTTCTGTGTATTTCTTCCAAATGGATTATTAAACATTTCTGTCTGCCAATCAAGAATGTATAATTTCAGCTATAACCTTCATAGTTTCATTATGCTGAGAGCTCATTAATATAAAAATATTTTCATAATTACATGTAATTGACCAGTAAGAATGTGCAAAGGTTCATAATCATTTTCACTATAATCATATATATATATATATATATATATATATATATATATATATATAAATATGTATATATTATATATATATATATAATTTCAAATCGAACAACTTGTTAAGTCAATTCATAATCAGGAATTAGTGTATCATCAACATTGCCAAAAGTTTGTTACTTCATATCAATTTTGCAGTTACAGAATTATCTGAGCAAAAGAGACACTAAAATAATTTGCCTCTAACATAAAAGTAACACGTTAAGAATAAAAAATCAGATCACATTTTAAATACAAAAGACGTATCATATCAAATATTGTTATTTGTAAAAATTCACTTACGTCCTATCGTAGCGCTATCTGTCATCACAGTACGATAGAGCAATAATACATTTGCACTTCGAAATAAAATATTGTTAAAAATGTTTATGCGAAAATTAAAAATAATCTCTCAAGTGAATTCATTAAATTCTTTTGTTACAAACGATGTAGTACTGCTATTGATAAAACACTCGAAAAAACAATGAACGCACAAGATGAAGTGAAAAAAGCTCAGAAAACCAATTATGCACCAGGGACTTCGACAATATTTGATAAAATATTATCGAAAGAAATTAAAGCTGATATTATATACGAGGACAAGTTATGTATGGCTTTTAATGATGTTAATCCTCAAGCACCCGTACATTTTCTAATTATTCCCAAACGAAAGATTGCGAAACTGGAACATGGCGGACCAGATGATGTAGAGGTTAGAATGAGTTTACACTTTTGATTAAATTAGAAAAAATTAACTACTATTTTTTTTACAAGATATATTTATTTACCTGCTTTGTATGAATTAAAGTGCATAAAATTTATCCAAAATTCGACGAAAACTGCTTGCTAATAATTGTTTATTGTTCAACTAAACTGACACCGATTCAACTATGCTTTTGAGTTCTCCATGAGAACGCTTGTGTTTGTTACTTTACTAATCGTATAACTTGCCTTGTCATGTCGTAACTTCAGATGGTCAAGTTTGTATCACATCGCATTGTGTTCGCTGATTTTAAATTACGATTTTATTATAGAAAAACTTGATAATTTAAAGTTATTGGCTATTTCATGATTATTTTTTCATTGTGATTTAATAAAAATAATTTAGAAACAATGGACGGATTGGCGCAAATGCATATTTTGAAACGCATTTTCTAACCAAATCCAAAGACTGTTTTCGTTTGTTCGTTTAACATACTTCGTTTTATATAAACCATATTAAAGTATTTCTTAAATTAATTTACGATTTAATATTTTCATACAAAATGCACGAAAACAAATCTCTATTAATAGAATATTTGCATAAGAATCACTTCATCGACATTTAAAATAATATTTACAATACAATAATTAGTTCTATAATAAAATTATTTTTAAACATAAGTATTTATGAAATTATTTTCCAGAAACTATTAGCTTTTTTAATTACTTTTTATGCTATAATATGCTTCAAGTTAATATTTAAATACTGTATAATTAATTGTAAGGCAAAAATTGAATTCTAAATAAATTTGTAATTTTTTACATTAAGATTACTCTTTATCTAAATTACACTCGTGATTTAAATTTATTTATTTCTAAATCTATCAAACAATAAAATTTTGCTCTTTTCTTAAATTCAAGTAATAAGATATGTTTATGAATTGCACTTTAGTCTGTTGTATGTTGCAATATACAGTGTAGATTATACACTCACGCCGGGAAAAGCTAATATAGCTAAATAAGGATTATTGTCTCTCTTGGTAAGTCTCCCAATTCTGGGGCGATAACTACCATTTGATTACCGTAAGATCGCAATTTACAAACCTGAGAGATTATTTTGACGTCTAACATACATGTAGAGTTAATAGCTATACGAATATTCATTTGTGGATCAAACTTTCTCAACAATGGATCAATTACATTTTATACTTATTATTTTGATTTTATTAATTAATTAGATTTAGAATCAATAAGGTGATATTGCTGTAAATGAGCAATTAGAAACTTAATTGTTGCGTACCATTTTTTTATTAAATAAATTCTAAATGAATTCTAAATAAATTCTCTATAAAATGCATTATATTTTAATAGAATTATTGATAAACTTATTTTATTTAATTCAAGCATTGAATTATGATAAATATGTGCATATATATAATTATTTTGTATATTTTTGATTTCTCAGTTATTTGGTCATCTAATGTTACAAGCAGGAATTCTTGGCAAGAAAAAAGCGCCGAACGGTTTTCGAGTTGTTATAAACAATGGGAAAGATGGGGCTCAATCAGTTTATCATTTGCATCTTCATGTTATTGGAGGTCGTCAAATGAAGTGGCCCCCTGGCTAATATTTTATGCCATTTATAGGTCAACATAAAACATGTATATATTCAAAAATATATAATATGAAGTAATAATTTCTATTTTGTATGTATTATTTCATAAAATATATACACGATCACATACAAAAGTATCAATCTACTACATTATCTGAAAAACATTTATAACATTTTTGAGTAGCAGTATAACAGTTTAATATTATACTGTTGGTTGTTTATATAAAAAAGTTGGTTTGTTCATATACAAAAGTATCATCCTACTATTCTTTATGAAAAACATTTATACAATTTTTCAAGTAACCATTTAATATTATAAGCACAACTTTTGGTTGTTATACTGCACATATCAGCAAAATCACAAAAATCTTGATTTGTTCTCTGAATTTCAATGAACTTATCTAATGGACATAAGAAATTGTTAGATGAACATTCAGGAATCTTCATTGGCTGTTCTTGATGTAACAGGAGTATGTAAGGATTTTTAGAGTTATCACAACTGAAATATAAAAAAAATTATTCAAGTATAGAAATTTCAGACTAGTATGATAATAATTCATAAAACCTTACCTATGCATAAAACTAATAAATAACATACATTGTTAATTTAAAATGTTTTCTTTTTATTCAATTATCTTTTAATTGAATTGAGCTTCTTCTGCATGAATAAAAAAATATTTTGAAGATGTTACTAATTTATTGAAACAAACATTACCTATATTTAACAAAACCTATATTGGATCCAAATGCATCGATCTTGCTTACTCTCCATTGTCTATCAGGTTTTATTTCATGGGTTAAATGTTCGGCATCTTTATACAAACCCAAGTGAGCAATTAATTTTAGTATTGTTCCAGAATGCGTGAAATAAAAAACTGATTGCGGTATTCCAACACTACAATAATATAAATAAAGACAATAGATAATTGATTCTTAATATGGATTGTAGAATATAATCTTACTCAAATAAATGAAGCATATCTCTTATCATAACACAAGCTTGTTCATGCGTTAAGTTGAAACCGTATCCATCAATCCAATAATATTCCAAATCTTCTGCATATTCCAAAACCTATTAAAAAGTTTATGTAGAAGGTAATATAAAAATCAGAAATAACATGAGAACATAATATGATTGAAATGTTGAATTTTCTAATTTAAGCTTTCAATGTAAAAATTTATAATTTGATTCTTGTAGATATAAAATATACCTCGAATTCAGAAATTGTGAATACTGAACACCAAGCACCTTTTCTGTCATCATTCCAAGCAGTTTCAAAGGCGCAATAGGAGTACATGTAGAAAATATCTTCTATACAAGAATACATTAAAGTATTTTAATGAACAAATTAAATAGATGTATATAAAAACCAGAAAACTAAAGATTTTTTTGTAAAAAAGGAGTAAGCAATGATCAATAAAGACCAAATTTATTGAAATATATTTGATTATATAAGTATTTATTGAAATACTTACCAAACTCTAAATAATTTACTGGCAAACCAAGTCTCTCAGTAACGGTTCTTATTAAATTCTTCACAAGATCACTTTTTTCAAATTTATTTCTTTCTTTCACACTTTCTGGATTTTTGTCAATATCGAATTTCCATTTATTACAGCATTTGTAAAACTAGAAAAAGACGAAGTCTAAAACAAATATGCAAAAACATAAATGAATTTAAATAATCTTTGATTTATTGACTTAAATTTAATTTATAAATAATACAATATATATATATTATATATATATATATATATATATATATATATATAAAACAAAATAGTAATTACCCTTAATATGGGATCTTTAGATAAAGGGCTGGGATACCATACTTGACTGCTGTTAAATAATCCAAAGATGCCTTTAGCAAACCATTGCGCACTTTGTTCTGTCCTTTGACTTTTAGTATATTTAAACTGCAAAAAAAATTAATATAAATTTAGATGTGAAACTATGATGAATATATGTAGTAATAGCAATTGTAGGTAATTACCATATATGATGAATTTGAAAATGATGCAGGAAATAGCTCAGGAAGTCGCTGTCGCATTCTATTAGATAGTTCCATTAACTCTTTTTGCCCTTCTTTTGTAAGAAATTTTTCATTTCCTAGTAAATCACTAGGTGCTTTCCATTGCTGGAGATTCTTTGAATTTTCGAAACATAATGTTGCTAAAAATGTAGGACTCTTATCTTAATTTGAATAAAAAAACACTGCATGAAGAATTACTATGAATATAAGTATCAATACTGTGTTAACTATAATAATTTACCCTTGAACACATTCAGATCATTATATACATACATACATATATATATATACACACACATATATATATATATATATATATATATATATATATATATATTATATAGATATTTACATGGTTTCGTATTAACAAAATTATCCACTTGGAAGAGAGAGCAAGATCATAAAAAAAAAAATTGAATGAGAGGTTGCTGATAATGAGAAAGTTCTTGATCAATAATTAATGAAAGTTAATGAAAAAATAGAAAAAAGGCAATGATAAATAATAAAGAAATTGTGTCACACTTTTATAGTGCAAGTCCTCATACAACTTTGTAAAAAACTAATTCAATTTAACTAGCAACTATGTTTTAGTTAGCAAAATTCATCGTAGGCTAAAATATTCACTAATAATGATAAAGCAAAACCATAAGAATAAGTGGCTTATAAATCAGCTTTTAAACTAATCATGAGTCAAAAATAAATTATGTTTATTTTTTTGTAAAATACTGAGCTTTACTTTAGATTATAAAACATAAAATAATTTTTTCCCAACCTATCTATGATAAATTTCATAACTTCCTACTGATATAAATGTGTAAATAAAATAATTTTAAGATTTAATTTGAAGCAAAAATTAAATGGTTAAAGGTAAATCATTTGGCTTTATTGATGGTTATTGATAAATTTCAGTCATTGTCTAAAGTGTCATTGAGCAACTAATAAAATTAATATATTGTAAATACACAAACTAATATACATTATTGTTAATGCATGTAATATAATGAAACACAAACAAAAGTAAGAAAACTGTAAGTTCAATTGCTTGCTACAGAACTAGTGCACTTAAATTTCAATTAAAATAAATGTACATACACACATACATTATAAGAACTTTACCTTTCTGTTATATTAATACATAATTGATAAATTGAAAATGTATGTGTTAAATTCTGATTCTTACATTTCGAAAGATTCTCCAGAAACTTTTGTTGAATTTGAGTCAAGCGATCTAAAGCTCTGATGTATTTCCCACCGGGATTTCTAGTTCCATGTCTAATGACCATCCAAATTTGTCGTGGTGTACATCCTATTAGATAATTTTATTTTATTTTAATCGAAAAGTAATGACATTGAGAGTACATACCTGGAAATGTCAATTTGGAAACATTTTTATTTTCAACAAATCTATATGGTGTTTTAGTAGCTAAATGAAAATGAAAATTTTCATTTTTAACATCATTACAGTTATTGTTGCACCAGGTAAATGGAATTATAATGGATAAACAAATAAAAATAATTATATTCATCGTGCGTTTTTAACATTGTTGTTGGGCACATGTTGCTTATCTGTCAAACGTCAGAAGAAGCAAAACGTCAGTTCTGAAAATAGCAGAGATGTTTCGTATATTGAAGTCTAGATGCCACCAATTTCACACCGAAGTTGCAATTTAACAAATTTCATGCATTTAATAAATGCAATGTAACGATTACAATATCAGCTAATAATTTCACACTGAAGTTGCAATTTAACAATTGAAATTATTAACTTTCCGCAGGGTAAGTTATAGTATGGTTCCTTATCTATGGTTATAGTAATCGCAAAAAATCGAAAATGAAAATTTTTATATTTCTTAACGTTTCAGAGGTTTCTAAACATTTGGGCATACTTAGGATGTATGCGTGTGTGTGTGTGCGGATACAAATTTTTGTCGATCATTTCGAGAACACGGTTTAACCGATTTCAATTATTCAAACAACATTCGATTCCTTGCCAAAGTTGCCAAAAAGTGCCAAAAACGGTAACTCAGTTTTTAAGAGAACGGATCGTCCGATTTTAGTAATTCAAAAAACATTTTACTTGTATTGACAAGATGAAGAACTGATTAGATTAGAAAAGTAAAAAAAGTCATTTGGCGGTCAAAAATTCATTCATTTTATGGAGATTTTAATAATACGTATGAATTTTGTTTACATTTCTATGGGTTCCGTAATATAGTTTGCCCGTTAGACGGTGAGGCGGCAATTACGCGCTTCAATATCCCCTTTCCATGCAGCTAAATAAGCAGTACGATTGCTTTTAACAAAAGTTCAAAATTTCCAAAATATTTCAAAATAAAGAAAACATTTTTTTAACTTAACGTGATTTTAAGCTTAAATCATTTTTATGAGCCGAGATAGACATATATATATATATATATATATATATATATATATATATATATATATATACATAGCTGGGCACCGTTAATCAAATAGTTAACTTCGTTAATCGTTAATCCGCTACAAAAAAAGTTAACTTCGTTAAACGTTAAAGCGTTACATTTCGGAAAAATTAACGCAAGTTAACGTTAATCGTTAATCCGTTAATATGTGTAAAATTACATTTTTATATCGTTGCGTTAGTGAACTTAAAAAACTTATTAACTTCCCGTAGGGCAAGTTATAGTAATCGCAAAAAAATCGAAAATGAAAATTTTTATATATCTTTACGTTTCAAAGGTTCCTGAACATTTTGGCATACCTTAGAAAAAATGGATGTATGTGTGTGTGTGTGTGTGTGTGTGTGTTGGTATGTATGTATGTATGTACGTGTGTGTATGTATGTGCGGATACAAATTTTCGTCGACGATTTCGTGCTGATTAGTTTTTGGCGAAGGCAGGTCTAGCCGTTCCAAAGATACGGGACAAAAAGTGCCGAAAACGGTAACTCAGTTTTTAAGAGAACGGAGCGTCCGATTTGAATAATTCAAAAAACATTTCACTTGTATTGACAAGATGAGGAATCGATAAAATTTTCATGATGGTAGGTCTAGCGGTTTCGGAGATATGGAGAAAAAAGTAAAAAAATGAGCCATTTGGCGGTCAAAAATGATCATTAGACATATGCACATCAAATTATCAGATATTTTATAGACATTTTAACAATAAGTATACAGTTTGTTAACATTCCTATGGGTTGCGTACCAATGCTTATGCGTTAGACAGCGACGCGGCGCTTACGCGCTTTATATTTTGTCTCTATGCAGTCCTAAAGCAGTAAAATTGCTTTGAAAAAAAGTTCAGATCTTCGAAAATATGTCAAAATAAAGAAAACATTTTTTTTTCAAAAAAAAAATAATTTTTTGTCCAATATTTTATAGTTTCTCAAAAATCTTATTTTTTCGAAGTAATTTTTTTTCAAAAATGTTAATCGTTTTTAAAAAAATAATAATTTTAGGTACGGAAAGTACCAGCAATTTGCCTTAAGGCACAACGCCTTAATTGCCTTTAAACGCCTTTTAACGCCTTTAAAGAGTTTGTAGCTCTTTGGTTTTTCTATAGACTGAGTGACAGAATTGAAAAAGTCTTCCTTCTCGTCATCATCGTTGTTACTCGCATTGCTCCCTCCGCCACTTAAACTATCTCTGTCCTTCGAATTTTTCGCTACTTCTTGCCATAAGGCATCTTCTACCTTTTTTTCCGTGCATTTTCTTACTGCTTTCCTCTCTACTGCTGTCATACGTTTCCAGCCACATTAACCGAAACTTTGGGTGAAATGCCGCGGCAAGTTGGCACTGTTCATCATTCAGGTAGTAGTCCAAATCTTTTCTCTGTGCCGTTTAATAAGGCATTGGCTAAAGCCTATGGCTAAAGCTGTGCCGTGCGGTAAATAGTAGGCATTGGATTAACGATTAACGGACTTCTCGCATTTTAACGGAAGTTAACGTGTCCGTTAACATTTTTAAAAGTTAACTTAAAAGTTAATCCGTTAATCAAAATGTTAACTTCGTTAATTAACGATTAACGGATTAACGAGTTAATGCCCAGCTATGTATATATATATATATATATATATATATATATATATATAATATATAACGTGCGATAAAATGGCTTCAAATGTCTAGGAAAACTTGGTAAACTGAATATTTTATCGTTATTTTAAATGACACATTAAACATCAATTACGTAGTAATTGATATTAAGAAGATGCACATTTTACAAAATTTGATTTTCAATAAAACAATTTATATTTTATATAAATAATAAGATTTATATAATTTAAATATAATTTATATTTTAATTTCTTTATTAAAATGCTTTTGACTGGCAAGTCGTATGCATGTAGCACTTTGCCACGAAGCAAGATTTGCCTTAAGGCAAGAATTGAGAATTAGCTATTTACATAAAATTTATTTAACGCTTAATTTCGAATCTGAAGTCTTTTTCACTCAAAACTATTCAACGCCATTTCTAATTGATATCTTTCAAACAGACTTACGATATATATGTAAAAATATTAATTACTTATAGTTAGTACACTGTTAGTAATATTAATTGTAGTTAGTAAACATACGCTTGTATGTCGATTTTAAAAGACTTTACGTTTTTACACAAAAATACGAAGAAACGATCCATCGTTACCAAAAAATAATCAGCACGATTCACATCATCCTTAACGACACTGTAGATTTTGTGTTACCGAGTTGCATCTGATAGCTTTTAAATTTTTAAAATCTATTTTTTTTAACAAAACGTCGACGTAAGTTCAAATTTTAGCTCACCTACACATACACACATCACACATACACAGTCGCGTCGGAAGGTAAATTTTGATGAAGCACCACATTTCAAAACTCTCCAGGTGGTTCTTGTTGGCCTTTCTTAGAGGCAATGTCTTTGATCCCTATAGAGCTATGCTCCAGACATAGCACTTTATCAGGCTCTTTCGCAAGTCGAGCAGCTACGGCCGTAGCGTTCTCTTCTTTCTGAAAGTCGGCTTGGCTTTTGCGATCCTTGTCCTGATTTTTCTCGTGCAGTATCTGTCTTATGGTCAGGATGCTTTCCAAGTATTTGAAATAATCAGGGGCACATCTCTTTTCGTGATTCTCATCACTTTCGATTTGTCGACATTGATTTCAACTCCGTATCCTCTACCTTCTTTGACGATTCTGCTCATCATGTTTTGTAGCTCGGTTTGTTTTTCCGATAGATCATCTGCGTACTTTATTGTCTTCCTTGAAAAATCTCCATTGTCTTCAAGTGCCACTTGTTCGTTTTGGTGTTTTTCTAAAGAGCTATCATCGTGACATCCAGAAAGTCCTTTGGATATTCGACCGTACGGTATATTTGGTGCAACAATTTGGTCAGTTTCCTTAATCCGTTGTTGCCCAGCTCTTTCAGCAGGTCTGCCGGTATATCGCAATCTCCCGTGTTTTCTTTCTTCTCATATCATTTATTGCGCTCTCGACTTTGCTTTTCAAATTGCACGATACTTTGTTGTTTTCGTCCACCTCTTATTGTTCTTCTTCGATCTCAATATTGATCAAGACGATTTTCTCTATCGTACAATTTTTTAATGTATTTGTCTCACATGCTGAGAATTTTCTTGTCAATCACTTTATTTTCATTATCGTCTTCATTCTTATGCATATATGCATATACAATTTTTATTTCAGTCTAAACTTGACAAAAAACACGATTTCTTTCATCATTTCTGGAAACAAATTTATACACTTTTGAAATATGAATGTGGTTGAAATGACGAGTGCTATCATAGATAAGGAAATTAGTGATACCATCTTAACTTATTTGAAATTTTCGATGAAAAATGTAACGTAATAAGAAGAATCTTATATTTTGAGATTGATGGGTAGACTAAGCCCACCCGTCAAAACTCATGGGTGGGCTTAAGCCCACTCAGCCCACACGGTTCCGACGCCACTGGACATACATTGTTTACTTACATATTTTGCATACCTACATACATTTTCCAATTTTGGTGTCCAATGATTCAGAATGACTTGAAAACTAAAATTAGAGAAATCGGATTTTCTGGAGCAAAACATATATTCTTCCTCGGGAAGAATCAAGACAAGCAAATTCAAAAATTTATTGATTGACAAAGTCTTAAGGTTCATGAGCATTGCAATGCTATTTTTAAAAACATTTACTTTACTTGTTACTTTACATCGTGGATGCCGAGATTGAAATTATAAAACACTAAAAGTTTTTATTATTTTAATTTTGAAACCAAAATTCATTATAATTTGCGTTGAAAACTCCCAACTCTTTTTTTATACATGTAATTAATATTTATGAACATATACTTTTTATTTTCTTTGTAACATTCAGGTTTATTTAGACAATAACATACATAATTTAACATGAAATGATTATTTTGAATATACCTTTATAAATATGTACATATATTAAGCTTAAACATAATTATAATTTTGCCCGCTTTGTACAAAAAATTATATTTTCTATCGTCGTTTGATTGATAGCTTCTTAGATTTTTTAGATTAAGTATTAGAATAGTAGATAAAATTAATTTGATAATTTTTATTTAATAGATTGTCATGATTCCGAATTAGGCCTCAAAAAATAATTACCTAAACTTATAATATTACATTTTTCACAAAGTCTATTGATCAATATTTTAACTAGTTTAACATAAGCATAAAATTTTGTACATATACTTTTTTACATTAAACAAGTTATTATATTCTCTGAATTTAGGTACTTACAAATATCTTGTAATTATATTATAAATACATAATATATAAGAACAAAATTTTTCTATTAGTTAATAATAATGAGTTTTTTAACATTAGATCATATTAACATTGAAATTATAAGTCGAAGTATTAGAATAGTTTCAAGCGATAGTATTAAAAATATAATCTGTGATGCACTTACTTCACTATTGTATATTACTATGATTCTAAATATAGTTTTATCATTTTTAGTGTCGACAGTGTCATTTATTTTTTATATCTTTATATAACAGATCAATTGTTACAAACACATATAAATAAAGTATTATCCAGTCATAACGCATTACAAAGACAGATTTGTAATTGTAAGAATGGCGAAATCGGTATATATGATTTGTCGTTTTGTAACGTGATATTTCAAGTTATTTACAGAAATCTTCTTATGCAAAAGTGAAATAATTTTTTTTATAAAATTATAAATAGTTTTATATTTTGTGAAAAGCTCAAAATTTTGAAATATTTTGAAAAAGTTGAGTTTTGAAATCTTTAAAAAAAATATTATAATTTTTTTTTTAGAATAAGGCTTGATACGAGTAACTATGAAATTTTAAAACTTTAAATTCTATTTTAATTTGTTTAGATTATTTTTAATGACTTTGTCATTTAATTTTGATATTTTAGGAGAATCGGTTATAAATTGTTAATTTTTTTCAATTATGAAAACTACATTAATTTCACTAGAAAATCGAATAGGTTATAGTTATAATTGATAAAAGCTTCGAGTTAATACAGAATTTCTTAGTCATATAATATAATTACTGCACATCACATTATTTTTATGTGTTTGTATATATTTAAAATATTTTTATATTCAATGCAAGTATATACATGGTTCATGTTTTATTTAGAAGATTTGTCAAAATGTTACTTTCCACTTTTATTCAACATATGCTATATCGAAGTAATAATATAAACCAATAATTTTTCATATGTGTATTATTTACAACTTCGTGCTATCTGATTTTTAAAAAATTGGTAAATGCATACAAAAATGAAAAATATATGTAATATATCATATCTATAGAGTTTAGGTAAAAATAAGTATAAATTATCGATTAAATGCTTCAAATATTTTGTATTGAACTTCATATATTTATTATAATTAGAGCAAACCATTTAATTATGTTATACACAACCGTTAATATAAAAGAAACTATTTAAATCCTAAAGTGTCGTAGTGATTAGAACGTTCAATATATTTCTGAATTATGATCTGATTTCAAACAGCAATTGTTGAAATGCTCGTAAAATAAAGCTTAATAAATGCTTAACTTAAGAGGGCATTCTAGTATAAAAATTCAAAAAAATGTTTTTTGAATTTTAACTATTTAATAACATGTGTACAAGATAATTTTGTAAAATTTAAATTATTTTTGGAGATACAGCTGTTTGACCATATATATAATATATGGTCAAGCCATATATAATATACTTCTATTTTCTTCATTTTACGAAAATTTAAACACGTTTTACTCAAAAGTGTCTTTTTCAATATGATGCCCACGATTTCTCGAGTTTTACTGGACCACTTGAAATTTTCAAAGAATCATGGATCGGCCCAAAAATGATTTGCCGGAACGCGTTCCGTTCCAAAAATGATTCGCCGGAACGACTGATCATAGCCATGGTAATAAAAAATGTGTCGCCTTCTTTACGATGATTTAAATATCAACTAAAATTTATGTCTTTACACTAGAATACCCTTTAATATGTAAATGTACTTGTTTTTCCTTGTTATCACTAGTTCTATAAGTGCATACGACCTTCATCGATTTTTAAACAAATAATTTCTTTGTGCTTATAAAATATACAAAATGAATTCTTCAATCCACGATCCTATAACTAGCCTAAAGCACATCACAGCCTTAATCCTGCCCTTCATTTCAAATTCATTTAAACCATATGACGACATGGGAAGATATATCTACCTTTAGTTGTACGAGGTGAAAACAACTAAAAACATATATATATACGAGATACATACATATATATATATATATATATATATATATATATATATATAATTTCAGTTATGCAAGAATAAACACAAATGCTTACATTTTTTAAATTCTATACATTATTAACTTAATTAATATAATCTAATACTCTTCAACATTAAAAGCTCTGTAATTTCAAACATATGATTATCATATTTTTTAAACTTCTACGTAAATATATTATTTCTCAACAGTGAATTAATTATGATATTTAACACATATTTATAATTTATATAATTCGGTTATTTCAACATTCCAAACATTAATCTGTACAAAACATGTTGATTATATCCAATACCATTCATTTAGCTTGTTCATAGGTTGTCGTATAAAGTGTAGTTTGTGAACAAACACTTTTTAATTAAAAAGAAGTATGACAAATGCCTACATTTGGATTAAAGTCAAAAATTTGATTGGTGTTTCTAGCAATATTTATATTAAATACAAAAATGCAATAGTTAATAAAATATTTGTCTGTATTTGAAATGATATAAAGTCTCTCCTAAATATTATATTTTCTATGATATATAATTATTATCTTTCATATTTCTTGTTAAACAGAAATATTTGGCGTTATGCAAAATTATTTGTTTTAGCAAATAAAATTAAATTTAGTGTTTAATATTAGTTCATAATGTTGCCAATTGAGGGCTATTTAAGCTCATAAAAGTAATTTATACTTGGTGTCAAATATTAAGCTATAGCTGCTTAAATAAAGGTTAAACATGAAATATTAGCAACGTTCCAATTCTAATTATTGAAAACAACAAACTTAATGTGTTAATTAGGTATATATTAGGCTTGCAACAAATATTCCACTGATTATCGAATATCTTATTTGGCCGAATACCAAATACTTGGAAATATTATATATTAGTAGCTGACCCGGCCAACGTTGTTTTGCCATAAAAAATATTTCTTGTAAAATAGGTTTAGTGAATCAATCAATATGAATTTTTTCGAGCAATCTGTCCTATTATGTTATAAGTGTTTTTTTACAAAGCATGTACAATTATATAACATAATTCTATTGATAGGCTTAATGTCGTTTTAGTTTTCTATCACTGATAATATTTTCACTCTAATTAATCCAATACAGTATCCAAATAAAACTAGCTTTGAATTGAATTATTGATTTTCTGCTTTCTGATTTCAATAATTTACTCTAGAGAAGTTAACAAATTGATAATCAAGAATTCGCTTACTCGGTGGCATCAAACGGAAATTCATATTCATAAATGGTTAAAAGAATGTAAATCATAGCACAATTCTTTTTTAGATTTGAATTCCTAAATCACGCTATAATTGCGGCAATTCAACATTCCACAATGCTAATTTTTGTATCGATAATGTAATTCGAATTGGCACATCACAACTGAACAACATAATTGCAGCTGCCTCTTATAATACTATAATCATTCTAATAATAATTTCTGGTTAAAACACCTTGTAGATTAACTACCCTTACATAAAATTCATTGGAATGTTTTCTTTGTCAGATACAAGTGTTTCATAGAGGTAAATGAAATCAGCACGTCATGGAGAATCATTTGAGTCAGAACCTAATGAATGAATTGGAAATAGAGGATACCATGATGCTGTATGCTGTGTCAATTCGAGTGTATCCAGACATAATTCAGCGCCTCCCAGACCTTGATTGTGATCAAATCCACTTGATTTCTGCCAAACCATGACTACTAAGGTACGCCCGATCACGTCACAGGCCTACGACGTTAGAATTTTTCTAGTCTTAATAATATATTTATTTCGATAGGTACTAATATTTTTAGATAAATCTCATAATCCAACAAAGCATTGAATTTTAAATTTCTTAATAAATGGTCATTATTGTATGGCTAATACTAATTTAAAGTGATGGATTAAATCGATTTATTATACTTTCAGAAAAAGTTTCCTTTATAGCACAGCCGTCAGTTAAAGCTGATACAAGAAAAATATATAATACAAATTTATCTTTGTATTATTGTGAAGTAACAAATTTAGCGCCTTAACAATGTTTATAGGCTACGAATCTACGATATTATATTGAACATTAAACTAAACTGTTATGTAGTTTATATTTAAAATTTTCTTAAACTCTACGTATATTACAGAATGCGCGCTAATGTATGGTTTTCTATAATTTGATATAAACATTTCACAAAGATTGAAAAAAAATTATATATATTAATATGTTGTGTTTTACCTGATATCGCAGAATTTGCTTATAGATTGGCTCAAAGGAATGACGAGCGACTCTCGTTTTTCGTTTCTGTAGCCAACGCTCTCCATCCCTTAAGTAACATTTTACGTAGGTGTCTGGAGGTTCGTTATCGTCAGAAGTTATATTTCTCGCGCCAATAACCTGCAATATAAAGAAAATTGCAATGTAAGAAACAAATGAAAAAGAAATAGCTTACTAACATATTGTATTAAATTCACTCTACACACTTTCATTGCGTGTCATCGATTTAAGATAAAATGGCTATAATGATAACCGAAACTATTCTAACATATGCTAGAGCGGGGCTTAAAGGTCTCGTAGGGCAAGGTATAGTAATCGCAAAAAAATCGAAAATGAAAATTTTTATATATCTTTACGTTTCAAAACCTTCTGAACATTTTGGCATACCTTAGAAAAAACGGATGTATGTGTGTGTGTGTGTGCGTGTGTGTATGTATGTGTGGATACAAATTTTCGTCGAGGATTTCGGTTGACGATTCGATTCGTATTGATAAGGACACGTGCTGATTAGTGTTTGGCGAAGGCAGGTCTAGCCGTTCCTAAGATACGGGGCAAAAAGTGCCAAAAACGGTAACTCAGTTTTTAAGAGAACGTAGCGTCCGATTTGAATAATTCAAGAAACATTTTACTTGTATTGACAAGATGAAGAATGGATCAAATTTTCATGAAGGCAGGTCTAGCGGTTTCGGAGATCTAATGAAAAAAGTAAAAAAAAAATGCCATTCGGCGGTTAAAAATGATCATTAGACATATGCACATTAAATTATCAAATATTTTATAAAGATTTTAACAATAAGTATCAATGCTTATGCGACGCGGCACTTGCGCGCTTTGACATTTCGTCTCTATGCAGTTCAAGCAGTACGATTGCTTTGAAAAAAAGTTCAGAATTTCCAAAATATGTCAAAATGAAGAAAACATTTATCTTTTCAAAAAAATTTTGTTTTCAAACAAAATTTTTTTTTCAAAAAAAAGTAATTTTTTGTCAAATTTATAGTTTCTCAAAAATCCAATTTTTTTGAAGTAAAATTTTTTCAAAAATGTTAATCTGTTTATGAATATTTCTGAGAAAATACTAGATCGACGCAATATACGTTGTTATCTCTGTGTTATTCGTTGTGATATAATTTGCTCGGTTTTCACAATATAATTGCTCAAATTCAAATTGGATCTTTATGCTGCATCTCTTATTCAAACGTAAAAGCCTCTTTAAAATATAATGAACTTGAAAAAAAATATTATTATTGGGAGAAGTATTTTAAGGAGAATTTGTAATTTAAATTTCAATGTTATTGTATGAAAGTATTGTGAATTATGAAATAAAGTAAACAATATTATAAATATAATGTTAAGATAATAAATCATTTATGTATTACTATAAAGCTGCCACTTCTCCATGATGAGGATATTCTTCAATCACATCATACTGGTTAATAGAAACAGAATTAGAATTTTAGTGAATTTGATATTCAAAATCAAAGACAAACCTCAACTTCCAAAATTCCCTTTGTCATCAAGAGACCCAATTTTAATTCACCGTATTTGGCATAGCATACACGTCCTGTTTTGGGTTGAACTTGCCCTGGTCCCAGTTGTGCAGGTACCCTACCCGAAGAATTTTCATCATCGCTAGTAGGAGATTGTACGCGTTCTTTTATGTCTATCACACTCTCTTTTCTTGCCCGACTTGATCCTTTTTTATAGAACAAATTATTAAAGATTGGTTTTAACATCGATTTAACTAATATTTAATGTACATTTCAATAAACGATTTTTGAGTTATAACCAAATTGATGAAATTCGAGCAAGTCTCATTTGAAAAATTAATGTTAATAAAATATTTAAAACATTATAACATATATTTTCCCATATATGAATAATAATAAAATTTAGTTGCAAACATCAGTTTCATAAAGGTTTTATGCCAATGATGGTTAAAAAACCGTAATTCATTTTATATTTTATGGAACACCGAATTAATAACATTAAGGTGACCATACGTCCCGGTTTGGCCGGGACTGTGCCGGACTTCCAGATTGTGTCCCGGATTTGAGTTTTTCAAAAAAGCAATATTTGACTTGGTTTTAGTCCCGGATTGCCTGGGTTTTCTGAATGTATAGGTTTCAATTTAATCTACGCAATTACTTGATAATAAATTCACAACTACATATCAAATATATGAAAACGTTATAAAACAGGTATGCTTATAAGCAGGGTCGGTCCAACTTTGAATGCAAAAAATACATGCGAAAAATTGCGGGCGCACGCCTTATGGAACGCCAAAGCGAGATATGGATATGAAATTTCTAGTATAGTTTTTTCAATATTATTCAAGAAATATATAATTATTTTGCATGTTTTACTAATCTTTGAACAATATTTATAAAATACGTCCAAAATGGAACTTAAAAACAACGATCTTATACACGATGGGAAACTAAAGATGAATACGATATCAATTAGGAGTAGTTTACGATGCAATTTTGGATATTTTAAATAATGAAAAATTAAATTGAAATAATCCAACATGAAGTACCAGTGCTATGTTTACTAATGAAAGGCTATTTTCTTTTATCTCTATGATATGCTCAATAAAATGAATCGCATAAAATCCCCAAAGTAAATAAATAAAATGTTTCAAAACCCAAATATTAATATTACGCATGCGTTAGAAATAATTGAAAAATTAATAATATTCTTCAAGCAATAAATAACATATAGAAATTTTGGATGTGGTAAAAAGTTTGGGTTGAAAATAAAACATTTAAAAATAGTTCGGTAGTGCGACAACGATAGAAGACACAAAAATTTGATCATAAGCACCCGCGCATATTTTAAATAATTTTAAAATCAATGTATTTTTGCGGTTTTAGTTTACATATATCTAATTTTTTGTGTACTGAATCCAGAATTATTAAAAAATATTTTAAAAAATTAATGTAAATTTTTGTATTTTTTAATGATAAACTATTAAAACAGTTAAAATAATATAGGGGGGGGGGTAGCAATAAAAAATTAATGGCATGCGGGCGCTGAGGACCCTGAAACCGGCCCTGCTTATATGAATTATATATTATGAATGAGAAAATAGCTGAATAAAAAATTACAAAGGCAAGTCAAAATAGCACGTCAGATTTTTAACTTTTATTTTGAATTTTACGACAATAACCACAAATTATGAAAACGAACTTTTTGACTTCCTAGCACAAATGCTAATTAAATTACGTTAATTAAATTTAGTTAATTATGAACAAAATTGAACACAATTTCATACATGGCTTAAAAGCCTCGAATTCTATTTTATCTTTAAATAGTATTTGTTATTTTAAATCATATTTAATTTTTTTAGCATAAAGACTCCCTTTCCCGCTTCCATCCCGGCTTACCGTAATTATAAGTCGTCGTCCTGGTTTTAGCATAAAAAATATGGTCACCTTATAAATAGTATATTCATTATTTATTTAGAATAATTTAGGTATAAATGTAAAATTATTACAACTCAGACTTGCATTTTTTCAACTAGAAGTAAATTTAATGTATAATTGTTTTTTTCTTCATAACAATGCCTCTCGTTTTCGAAGTTCTGTTGGCTATAATTTACCAAAGCGATGACATTTTTTTGAGAGTGAAGGATTTTTTTCCAGTCCCAAAAAAATATTTCATAGGTATGCTAGTACAAAATCTAGTCTATATTTTATTCTTTATTTTTATGGTTGTTAAATATTATAATTTTATAACTTCTTATAAAAGATGTATGACAAATATATTTTATTCATTACAAAAACACAAAGGTGCAAAGCACATTGACAAACATTATATGTATGAAACCACGTGTCACATTGAAAATAATCGTTAATATTCGATGAACATAATGATTGCATACTGAAACATACACAAGAAAAATACACTCAAGATTGAACAAAAACACAGAAACATAAAACAAACTGGTAGAGCAGGATATGAAAATGGATTATGATATAATGTGAACTTTTTAAAATATCACTAAGAGTACGCTCATAACTGATTTTGTCATTTATACGAAATATGTTTTTAATATCAAATAAGTTATTAATAAATGAGTCTATATAATTAATATTAACTAAAAGTTAGTAGTTAATAAGTTAAGTTGAATATTTTATTGTAGATAGTTGACCAATACCACTACTTAGGGAAACAGTATCTGGTGGTTCTGGTGACATTATATAAACAAACATTTTTTTGAGAAAATTTCAGAAATTTTACTTCAAATAAAATAATACATAGCAGCTTTTTTAAGTTGCAGAAATTAACTGATCATAGCATTACTTATTCAATTTAATGACAATGCGTTGAAATAGTTCTTTAAGTAAATTCTACAATACAATCAAAATGGACTAGTTAAAATATTGAATTTTTTATATATATTTTGTTTAAATAATTCGATTTTTTTTTCAATATACATATTCGTTTAAAATAATTGGCATAAGTTCATAGCCATACCAAATAGACCATTTTCAGAGCCATTCACTCAAGGTATTGCCGAACGATAAAAAATAAGCGAGAATCGTATCTGGACTTGCTTGATAAAATTTAAAATTATAAATTATGATTAATTATAATTTAATAATTTTTAATCATTAATATGAGATTTTTAACATTTTAACTAAAAAATTGATTTTAAAAGCTTGCATAAAGAGAATTTTCTTAGTTGTATTTGCAAATGATGTAACAATTTATTCATTCTAATTTAAATACAGAATCGTAAAATTATTGATTATAATATGTGTTGATTATAGAAAATTCTATAGATATCGGATAATTTGATATACGTATATCAAATACTCTATCAAAGTCTCAGAGTAAATATTTTTAGCTCATTTTCCGCAATATGTACAAAAATCAAACTCCATGTTTTCCAACTATTACAAATGATCAGAATCGTAAGGATAAAAAATTTCAATTAAAAATAATGGCAATAATAGTAAAATTACAAAAATGAATATCTGCACCAATGAAGAAGTCATTGCTAAAAAGTAATGCAATTAACTTGTATAAAAAAATACCAGTTTAGATTGTATAAATCAAATAAATTTTGCACTATGATGTATACGTTTCGTTCGTTATCATTTTATGTTTAATCACTTTTGTATCAACCTATTCTAGTCACAACCAGATCCAGTTTCCACTTCTAGCTAATAACTGAATTATACGCTTAATATGATATATTGTCTATTATAAGTCCATTTTTATGTTAGATAAAAAATTGCTAAAATAGAATAAAGTAACGAATTAGTTCAAAACAAATTTTCTATATCTATAGATCTAAATTTTCTAATTATATGTATACCTAGTTACCCAATAAAACTATATTAATAAAATGTTCAAAGCTTAAGTTCACAATATATTATTTATTATATACATAGAGCATAGGACAAATAAAAAAGCAATGATTTCACATGAGACGTGAAATTTTTTTGAGGATAATTATCTTACCGAGTGACCAGAAGAAAGGTGGAAGCTAGAGATCAGCGTCTGAAGGGTTTCAAAACATATTAGAAGGAAGATATTAACTCAAAATATATCAATAAAATAGAAAGAATTTACTAGTTTTAGGAAAGTGGTTTTAAAAACATTTTTAAATTTGATAAAAAACATAATTAATATTTTATGTAAATATATAAGCAAGCTAATGTAGAAATTCAGTATAATTGTAACTCTTTTCGCAACTTCATGTTTTTACCTGTTTGCCAATTACGATACATATTTTTTAATTAAATATAGAAATCTAAATGCTAATAAAAAGTGTTCAATATAAACTTACTGCGAGAGGCCCTTTTATTAGCAGAGAAACTCATAGTTCTACCCAATTCCCCTTTTACAGCTTTTAGAGATCGTAATATTTCATCGGGATCTCTTAAAACTCTGGCACATGATGATCTTCTGCAATGTTAAATGGATTACTTACTAAACTTGTCGTAATATTTAGGGGAATACCAAATACAGACAAAATTACACAGTGGCCTTATTTAAAATTTGTTGCAAAACCATGCAAAACCTTCTTTTGCCGTTTTTAGCTTGACGAAGGTTTGGGCTTATGCTTAATATGCTGATACCCCAAAGAGCACCATACGATTTAATCATGAACTGTTTTCTTATAAATTAGTTTCTCAGTATGTCCTTACTCCGTACTATATGGTCATATAGTTTTTATAATTAGTTGCATTTTTCCTTAATAAATATGTTATTATACTTTTTATTTTATAAAGATTATTCTACAGTTAGTCCATGTCTCTAATATGAGTAAAAACGATTACATCGATTGTGATATAATTAAATAAATGATTAACACCAAGAAACAAAAAACCATGTTATTTTGTCCATACTTCTCCTACTTATTGAGTTTAAGTAGTATTTTGCCTTAAAACAAAATTATATCTAAATTAATAAAGTTAATGGAACTTAATTGAAAATTAGTTTAAGATTTAATGAACAGTTTTAGCTGACAACAGCTTAATGTAATGTATGAATTATTAATAGTGAATAATTTATATAAAATAATATTGTTTACTAAACATTATAACGAAAGACAACGATATAATCTCGAACAAAAATTAAGGACTAACCTGCGATCTCTGCAATAGGTAGCGGGAGAAGCTGGTTCAGACGGTTCGGCTGAATGTGAACCGCCTGCGGCTGCCGCCTCTTTTTCTTGTTGTGATTGGAATGAGGACCTTCGTGATCCTGGCAAAGATCTAGAAAAGTCCTTGTTTAATTGATAGACCTCCACTTCGAGCGTCTCTGATTGAGAAGATCCTCGCCGTGAGCCTTAATAAAATTGATTTGATTGATAATTTATATATGACAAATAATCTGTTAATATGAAAAAATATTTTTAATATTAACAGTATGCAGATAAATAGCATGAAACATTATGGATTATGTAAATAATCTACAGACCTGCGACCCAAGCGTGATCAGGATGCAATAAAGACAAGCCGTCACCAATGCTATCACCATCACTATCTAGTGAACGTTGTCCAGCAAACATAGGAGGACGTTGGGCACCCATCAATTGGCCGCCTACAAGAGATGGCCTCGGAGACGTTGAATGGCCGTTTCTGATAAATGGTCCACCGCGTAAACCACGCGGGTCTTCCAATCTATACCATACAGCTCGATCGTCTAAGAAAGCTTTCTGTAAATCTACCTGTTTATATAAAACTTTCTTTAGATGAGAAGTAATTTTGCTATTTACCTAAATTTCAACCCTACTCAATATAATTTATTATGAAACTAGTAAGTATTTTACAACTTTATTATCTTGATTATGCACTTTAATACATTTTTTTTAAGAGAGAGCCATTCAAAGACGATACATTTAGAAAATTTTAAGTTCACATTCAAGCAAATAATTATAATTCTAGACAGATTGGAGCAGATGTGTTATTATTTATTACTTACGTCTACACTACAGTTTCCAAGCTTAAATAACTAAAGTGGACTACAATAGGTCAATACTTAAATGTTGTACTTAAAGACATAACTTTTAAACTGCATATGATTTTTTTTTCTAATTTTTTGACAATTTTTACAATCTATATTATCACTCCGTTTTGGCTTGACGGTGAATTTTGGGACATCCCATATATAGTTACATCCTTAATTCAAAATTTTCAATTTATCATAGATTAAAATACCATCTATTAATCAATTTTCTTTTTGTTGTTTCGTTTTGAGTTATTAGAACCATTATAACTACTAAATAGATATATTTCTTTAGAATCAGATAAAAATAAAATTGCATACGAATTATGAAGAGATGGCGTAATTACCGTTTGCATATAATAAATGAACTCAATTTACCGTAGATATACTTGGAATGACTATAAATTTCTAAAATTAATTACTGATTTTTTGAGAGAGCTTAACGTTGAATTTCACAATAATCATTCTTTACAAATATAGAAGACATTTTAAAATTGGTCACAATATTTTGAGAAAATGAAACATTCCCAAATCTGAATAAAATATATATTTCAAGTATATTTCAAGTTGTTAATTCTTTAGTTTTATTTAAACTTAAAACCATTATTATAAAATTTAGAAACAATTATAGAAAGAACTGTTGTCATAAAATGTAACTAATTTGAAATATTAAAATGATAGTTTGTGTCAAAGAATCAGGTAAAGTAAGCCATTAACAACATTAATTTGTAAATTTGCTTCATATATTGTTAATCATATGAAGCAAATTTACAAAATGTGATTAGTCGAAATGATACAGTTGTGAAAAATAATAAAACTTTCAATTTTGTTTATTTTCAATGTTAATTTCAATTAATGTGCAAAATGACAAAGATTTTGGTTCATTTCTAATATAACTTATTTCTAATATAACTTACTGTACATTCTCCGAGAAATATCGGGTCCACCTGTGGACACAGATCATATAAAGTAACTTCTATACTTCGATCCATTAGTTCTTCTCCTGGGATTCCAGTGAAACTCAAAGTTGCATTCCAAATTGGATTTTGGCTTGCAGGTGCAACTTCGGTTTGGGCCACATGACCGTCGCCACTGAAAAAAAAACATAATGCATGAATACAAATATATAAACATCAATTGAAATGTTAAAAGAATGAAAGAATATAGCACGCACAATAATTTTTGTGTAATTTTATACCAACAACTATTTCATTATCATTGATGTCAAATACTTCAAAAGCATAATAAAAACAGAACGTTAAAAGAGTGCGATAGGGAGTCTTTTAATAATGGATTACATTTATGGAAAATTCTAAATTTGTTTCAATTATTTATTGAATATTTTCCTTTTATACAGACAAATATAAAGTAGGAGAATAAGATGAAGGCAATTTAAATTATTCAATTGTGTCGCTATGTGCCGCCACTAAATTAAATAAGACGAGAAATAAACCAAAGTAAATAGTTCTGTATAAAAGTAGTAAAACAGTAAAAATTTATCATAAGCTTAAAGTATTACTTCATTATTAGAAAACAGTTTAAATTTTTCATAAAATTATTCACGCATTTTGGTCAATTAACTACATAATAGGTTTTCTTAAAAAATATTTGTACATGCATTAAATTATTTACTTTTAGTGTTATATATAATTCCAAATTCCAATATTGAAGTTTTTAAATGAACAACATAGTTTCATATTATTTTGTTTTTTCTGAGTTTTGTAAAATAGGTAAAATATAAAAATATTGTCGAACATGAGATACTACGAACTCATAGATGGCACAACCTTTTCACGATTGAAGATAATTGTGTAATTAACTCGAAATTGAAATCGGCAGGTAAAAAAGTTGATTTGTTCAAAAAATTGAATTCATTTGAATTCATAAATGTGAATTTCCAAACAAAAACTATCTATGAATATAAAGTTCTTTTAACTATTTTCTATAAATAATCATTAGCTCATTAAATGTTAAATATTCAAATAGTTGAATGAAGAGAGTTTTAAATTATTTCATATTTCCACTGTCTTACAATTAGTTTTCTCATATTAGTTCTCATAATTGAAAAACTTATAAATATACTAATACATATATATTATAGGTCTTTTATATCGTATTAAATTATACTTTTCGGTAAATTAATTCGGAGTGGTGCATTGATTGTTGATAATATAATAATTATTTTTTAATGCCATAGAAGAAAATTCAAACTACTATGAGCTATGGTATTGTAGTATTTTAAAGTAAACTCATTTTAGAAATTGTTTTGTGAGTATTGAAATAAGCTCATTTTAGTAATTGTAATCTGATTGTTTTGATGTATTTGAACAAAAAAAACGAATGTGAAACTTTATATGAATCTTTACGATTTAAGAATGTTTTGAGAAATGGATGCATGTATGTGCGTGTGAGTATGCATATTTGGATATAATTTTTTGTCCACGATTCCGCGAACACGAATCAACTGATTTGAATGATTAAAATAACATTCGATTCTGATGGGGAAGTGATTACTTTTTAACATAGGCAGGTCCAGCCGTAAAAACTTTTTACGGGGTTAAAAGTGTCAAAAATATCAGTTTTGAGAGGACGAAGCGACTGATTTGAATGATTGAAAAAACATATAACTTGTATGGACATTATAACCAATTGGTTAAATTTTTAGAAAAAAGGTCCAGCAATTTTGGAGATTTTTTGGAGATAAAGTGAAAAAAATGCGATTTGAGGGTAAACAATGATCATTAGACATATGCGTATCAAATTATAAAATATTTTATAGAGATTTTAATAATTAGTACAAATTATGTTTACATTTATATGGGTTCCGTACTAATATTTGTATCGTTTAATCGTTAGACTGCAACGCGGCGTTACGCGCTTTGATATTTTGTCTCTAAGACAGGTACTCAGCGCAATATTTAAAAAAAAATCATAATTAAAAAAAAAATGATGCATTTAAAAAATCCAGCAATTTGCCTGAAATCACGATGCCATTCACACCTAGTTAATTAAATAATTAAGCAGCTCAACAGTCTTCGCATATCAAGTTAATTTCCTTTCATATCTGTTCTGTGATTAGCAGTAAAAATTTTATAAATTAGACCTATAATCAGTTTACAATCGTAATAATGCTTTTAGATTTGAATACTTGAAAACGATATCGTAAACTTACGTAGCTGGCATTATGCGTAGCTTAGCATATGCCTCCGGTAACGAACCATGACCCAAGGTGTCGTCTCGGACCGCCAAGTCGTCTGCAGCCATCATTGAAACTACCAGCTCTCGTCTTTCTTCATGGTACCATACTTGCAATTGGGCACGGCCAGATACTTGTTTTTCCCTTGCTATTTGCTCCTGCATAATTCAATTTTAGCATAGGATATATTCGCTTTTGATTACATGAGATATCAAGTAAATTTTATATAACATTAAAAAACTGAAAACTTAGCAGAGTAGAAACACGCATTAATTCATTATATGTATATTAGAAAAATATAATACACAATCTAATGAATAAACACATTTAACTCTTAAATACATCATAAAAGTTATCATCCGCACGAAAGTTCAAAAGCTTTAAACAAAAGATAGAAATATTAAATAGTTTATTAAAAATTTATTACAAATTTTCTATGACATATCATGTATATATTTGGAGAAATGGAGTAAAATGCACAATCATATAAGTAAATCCAAGTGCATAAACATATCATGCAAACCAACATCTAAGAAATGGAAATAAGAATTTCAAACTGCATGCAAATATTGTCATAGATTAATATAAAATATTTTTTGCAGTTAAAAAATAACGTATATAAGTAAATATTTAGTGAATATTTATATAATTAATTAGATAGTAATAATATCACAATATTGTAAATCAGTCGGACTGTTATTTGAACTAGAACTTCTTGATACTTTGATTATAGTCTGAATAATAATCAAGAGTCGATTAATATATATTTTAAAAGCGCACGAAACAGGAAGTTTTATTGATTTATTTAGTATAATTATTATATCCTCTTTGTAAAAATAACACAAAATAATTATTGCATTATTTTTACAACTGCAATCGGTTCTTCAACAGCTTCATGTACATGTGTCTGTATAGTACATTGTACATTTAAGCATAACAATTAATATTCAACACAACATTTAACATTTAGAGTAAAAGTTTTTAAGATTCAGACATAACAAGACATTCCTCAGAGCTAATATCGTGCCAGCTGGGACAATGCATCACACGGAAATATAAAGGAAATATTTTAAATATTAATAAAACTTATAGAGCAAAATTGTATTTAATCTGCTTAGTTCTAAGAGGGAAGGATGATATTACAAAAAAAAACTAATTTAAAAAATTAGCAGATCAAACCACAGACAGGGCAGTGTAGACTAAAAGTGCTAATTATCTGAATGCTTTAAAAAATTTAAGCAAGCAAATTTAAAAAAAAAAGTACTAACTTGTTTTGAACATTAAAACCTGAACTGCCAGTAGTGAAGCTCTCAATAAAAACACACACTTGAGCATTATGAGGATAAATGAGGTAAAAATCAAGGTTTTCATATAATAATTTTTGTAACAATGTCATAAATAAACATATAAATATTTTAATATGTTTTATTAGAAGAAAGTTTTAACTATTATCACAAGTACATTAGTGTATAGGCATAGCTGTTGCTGATATATGAAATAATAATATTTCACCTTAAAGTTTATTGTATACTATATTATATAAAGTTTATTAATCGGGCAGCAGTGTCCCATCTGGCTTTGATGTATAAATGAAAATTTATAGAAAAACATAAATATTTAGATAGATCAAACTATAGATGAAAAAACACAGATTATAGAAGTAGAAGGAACAACATTTTATATATATCATATAAATATCTAACGATTATAAATATCTAATACATTAATTGATTATACCATCAAACACTTAATAACGAATATATTTGTTGTTTATACTTATTTATTCAATATACTCATATATTACGGATTGTCACAGGCAATTCTTGTATATAGTATATTGAAATACGTAGGTGCGATTCAGCGCACTCATTGCAAATAGTTAAAAGATTACCGGAAGAACAAAAAATGTTTGCATTAATTTAAACCCAAAATGTCATTTATATTTTGTGTAGTTTAATGCAATAAAATGAAATAATAATCTCTATAAAAATATCGAAATATAGAAATGTAGCAGGCATATGCTATATACAAGAACTTCGTATCCTGCTTAACACTTAAACTAGTTTTAACAATTACACCATTATTGATATATTATACTGATAAGTATAATTTTGGTTTCACAAATTTAAGCTATGAAAGGAAGATTTGATCGTCATATGTTGTCGACATTTTTATTCAAGAACAGTCAAGGCAGCGTACAAGTAACTTTAACGCAAGATGAACCAACAATAAGATATCAAAATTTATTCAACTAGTAATATTTTATTATTGAAATCTTTGCCGAGTACTATTTCTGTTTTTATTGAAAAACTAATACTATAATTATAAATAAAATAATTTTAAATAAGATTAGTCAGTCAGTTTAGCGAAATACATCAGAAAAAAAATCAGAGGAATGCAACCAAGTGTGAAATATCATTATAATTTAGAAAAACTTTATTACCGTTCAACAAAAAACCGCAATCATATTGTATTCATAATCATCTGAAAACATATTATTATATATTAAAGTTACAGCATTCTTGAAATATTTTTTCATTGGAAGAAAAAAGCAAAAACTATGGAAAGAATTATTTTGCAATCTCGACACATAATTTTTGCTGAGAAATGTAGCAGGCATATAAAAAATATTAGAAAAAGTTGATATAATAAAGTCATACTATAAAAACAAAACTTTCTTGTTTCTAGTTTACTGGAAAATGTATTTGTTTGTTATAGATAAGCAAAACTAATTTCAAATAAAACATTTACCATATCAGTATCCACACATTTCATAATGTTATTTGAATTATCGAACAAGATAGTTTACACGATCTAAATCAAATGAAAACCTTATTATTAAAACGCATAGAACTTTACTTCCAAAGTTAAAATTATTTGATTACTGATATATCATGACAAAATTTGAATTATTTATTATGCTTAAAAAAAATCCCATATTTGGATGCATTCCTCCAAAACATGCTTTTGTAGATTTTTTAGTAGAATTTTATGGAAATGATAAAAATTAGTTTATATGAGAAATAATAATAGTATAATAATAATAATAGGTACAATATAATGATACTAATTTGTGTCAAATAGTTAATTCGATATAATAATCAAAAATAAAAAAAAACATAATATACTAAGTTCAAAAAATAAATTTCTATGTTACATGCACTTAACAATGTTACATTTCTAAATATTCTTTACTTATTTTGAACAAATACCCTTTTTTGTTAAAAATAGAATTTGATTGTTCACTTTTACTATACGTAAACATTCTAAATACACGCTATAAAAAGTAAATCTTCTCAATTACTATAGTATTATAAGAAGTCTTACTAAAATTCGATGAGTATTAATTGAAAAATAAAATTTATTTATAAAACACGCATTTTTTCAATTTCAAAACGGAGTGGCAAAACAAGTTAATAATGAAATCTATCTACTATATATTATACGTTTTAAAGAAAATAAAAATATAATTACATAAATGACGAAAACAAATGTAGTAATAGATATTCGTTCATAGATTCGAAATTTCTTCCCACACTAGATACCATTATTTGTTGAAGAAACTAATAAAAGTATCCTGTGTCAAAATGATTGATTTATTTTAGGCAATATCTTGCCAAAAATTTAACCTATATGCAAATATATATGCAAATAGGTATTATTAATTCATGCTTCATTTTATATAAATAGTCCAGTAATAAGTTTAAACTAAATTAATTATTTCATTGAATTGTTGATTTCAAACTAAAAAGCGATAGTTTGTGAAAGAAATCGAATCTCTGAACATAGAAAAATTAAATTAAATATACAATATAAAAATTCAGTAGAAAACATTCAACGCAGACACAAGATGAATAACTCTATTTATACCGGTGTTTTTGGTAGTTTCCGCCTTGTAGGTGAAGTAGGAGATTTTCCTTCAGTTTCGCTCTCTATAAAAATGAAAACATGCTACAAAAAGTTTAAGTACTAGTATAATTTCATTATTTGGGTGATTATATATAATAGAAAATTTAGAATTACACAACATTTAATTTCACGTCATGAAATACGTGTGGTTGTTGCAAGTAAATGTTTTTGCATGCATGAAAGATAAAGGATGTATATTATATATGTATAATAATAATAATAATATATATATATATATACATATATATATATATATATACATTTACTATTATTTATTTTGTTCATATTACTTTGAACATTCATTATCATAATTGCTTTAGAAATATGTATGGCCAAACCAAGACTCGAAGTGTAAGTTATTCTAATAAAGACATTATTCTTCATTAAATTCTTTTTATTATTGGATGTCTGCCCAAAAACATTTCATCGTATGTCTTTCACCATCTGAAAAAATCTTACGCTTTCGATAGTATTTTCATAATACAAAATTGAAAAATTATAAGTATGCTTATATACATCACAAATATATCTGAAATAAAATTGAGCATCTCGCAAGGTTTGACTATTGGCTCATTGTCATTTGTTTTCTAAATTAACTACATTACACTTGTTCAACTGTTAAGGGGTTAGGGGTACTTGGAATTTTTGAAAAATCGAGTTTTTTGCATTTTCGTTAAATGTAATATCTTGAAAATTTCTCTGAAAATTTCAAGTTGATCCGATGATTACTTTTTGAGTTATTGGACTTTTACCAGCGCGCTGACGCTAGTGGAAAGCTCGATACTTAAACTCAAGATTATTCTGCCTTACCTCATGATGTTTTAGAAGCTTTTAAATCGATTTACGACGATCTCAGCAATGATAATTTACTTTCAAGATGTGTAGTTCAATATTGAATCCATAATCAGAAAAAAATTGAAAACTTCAACCAACTAGTGTGAAAAATATGCTCAAAAACCGTGAATACTAGTTTTACTATCGTACAAATTGCTGAATACATATACATAATCAATAATATTGATTATGGATACCCAAGGACCTAATTGTGGGTATAATTCCCATTGGTGTGCTAAAAAATTGGATGCTGCACTCGGCCAGAATGCTTTGTAGGCAATAGCAAATGGAAATTTTGGAAACTTTTGCAATGACTGATGAATTATTATATGGCCCAGAAATAGATGACTCGGTTAAAGTAATTCAATAATTCGTATTTCTGTACGTAAATGAAACTTTAAACGCGTTTTTCTCAAAACTATAGTTTTGAACTGGCGACAACTGTAACTCAAAAACCGCTTAGTAGATTTCAATGAAATTGTACAGCTTTTAGAATAAATCGGGCCTGATCGAAAGATTTTTATTTTTTTCTAAATTTAAATTTTTTAAGACCAATTAACTGTTGATTTTATCCCCAAAAATCTAGATTTTCTTTTTCTGATGCCGCCATTTTGTTAATTTTTGCAATAAAAGGCAAAGATCAGGCCCGGGATTATCTATTTATAAAACTTTTTTTTTTATTGATTTAGATGAATCTCCAAGGAGTTATGACCGTCATCGCCAGGACCGTTTTTTAAACTAGGTCAATAACAGCTATAACTTCGAAAATATTTTGTTTTTCTGAAATTTTTGTTACTTCAAGTCAAACCATTGTATTATAATGTCGCATTACTATTTTTGTAAAAAAAACATTGTTTAATAACAAAAAAAAATACTGAAAATTCTCATTTTTTCGTGCCTCTAAGTACCTCTAACCTTAAGTAGCTCTATATTTTGATAAACTCTCGTTTCGTTATTTGCATTTGTTGTAGTTTTATAGTTCATATGCATTGATATTAAGAAGAATTAGTGGTAAATTCTCTTTTTATATATTATTAAAATTATCTATTTAAAAATTATATATATATATATATATATATATATATATATATATATATTATTATATTTTAATCATTGGCTTTGTTCAAATAACTATGTTGTGTTATGCTACATACTTTTTACAATAAAAGTCATTATAAACCATGTTGGTTCTTATACCTATTGTTTTTTAACCAATTTTTATGCCGTTCTTGGGATGTCGACAGTTGTGGCACTCGCCTTTTTCTTGCATGATTTGATTACCTATATGTCTAATAGCTCGTATTTAAGGACAGTATTTTTATGTAGACAAGTGATCAAGTTAACATTTAATTTACTCTTCCCCCAGATAACTGGCAAATTCACAAGATTATGACTGATTTAAAAAAAGTGGTGCAACCATAATCACTCTCCCCTACAGCGCCAGCGTGTCGACAAGTACATATCGATTGATACATATATGCATTGTCCAATAACTATGGGCAACAGATTTCTGATGCAGATTATGTATCCCTCCGACACTAACAGTGTGAAATAGGTCCTCGTTTACCAAAATCAGCCAACCTTCAGCGAGAGTAAAATCCTAAATTACAGGATAATACTGCGACTAACTTAGTACACTGTAATAATAGCCAGGCTAGGAAATACATGTGTGACTAAATATCAGATAATATATACTCAATGCTTTCCTTTTCCGATAGTATATATTTTCGATAATAATTTTTAATAATAAGGTTACGGACTGTACATGGTAGCACATTCTGCACTAACGTGCAAAAATAGAATATTGTTGAGAAAGTTTGATCCACAAGTGAATATTCGTATAGCTATTAACTCTACATGTAATTACATGTATGTTAGACGTCAAAGTAATCCCTCAGGTTTGTAAATTGCGATCTTACGGTAATCAAATGGTAGTTATCGCCCCAGAATTGGGAGAATTACCAAGAGAGACAATAATCCTTATTTAGTTATATTAGCTTTTCCCGGCGTGAGTGTATAATCTACAGTCTACACTGTATATTGCAACATAAAACAGACTAAAGTGCAATTCATAAATATATCTTATTACTTGAATTTAAGAAAAGAACAAAATTTTATTGTTTGATAGATTTAGAAATAAATAAATTTAAATCATGAGTGTAATTTAGATAAAGAGTAATCTTAATGTAAAAAATTACAAATTTATTTAGAATTCAATTTTTGCCTTACGATTAATTATACAGTCTTTAAGTTTTAATCACGACGAGCCAATGTAATAAATAGAATTCGAATTAAAAATTGTGTTGACTACTTTTGTGCCAACTTTTTTCAAATTCTCTGCTATTAATGACAATGGTGTCATTATCTTTGACTGTAGTCATAAAAATTTCATACACGGTTACGGTTCCAAAATTTTAATGAACAAAAGTAATAAAAATTAAACACAATAACCTAAAAATGGTTACAATTTCACCAAAGCTGTAAGTTTTAATTGAAAGCTTATAACTTACAAATAATGTGAGATTTTTAACTTCCCGAAGGAGAAGTTTATGTTTTCATCAAAAAATCTGATTCGCTAATTTTATGTTTTCTCGACGTTTCAAGCCATTCTGAATCGAATGAGACCAAATTTGGAAAAAGTATGTGTGTGTGTGTGTGTGCGTGTGCACCAACAGATTTTTTGCCGTAAATCGCCGTTTTCTCAAAAACGGCTGGACCGATTTCAAAAATTTAAAAGCCATTCGATGTATCTCGATGAGGACTATTGTTTGTCAGTGCGACGATCGGCCAAACCGTTTCTTCGTAAATAGCAGAGAAGTGAAAACTCTTTCGTCCACGTTTTAGCCCGCAGTTATGAATCGATTTTGAAAATTCAAAAATCGTTCGAAAGATATTGGTTGGGAATCGTGCTGATTAGTTTTTGGTAGAGATCGGCCGGGCCGTTTTCTTGTAATAAAGTTTTTAAAAAAAAAATTTCGACGATTTTTATGATTATTTTTTTGACGGTAGATACCATAGTCTTCTATATCATACAAAAATATTACGGCCCTACGACAACAGGTTCAGCTTTAAAAATTCGTCAAAGTTTGCAAAAATTGGTATTGTTTTTTTGGCATTAAGTTAGACCTTTGATCGACGTTTTCTCAAAAACGCCTGAGCCGATTTGAGAAATTTAAAAGCTATTTGATGTATTTTGGTGAGGACTATCGTTTGTCAGTTTTGTGTGACGATCTGCCAAGCCGTTTCTTTGCAATTTGAAAAAAAGTGTTAAACTTTTCGTCCACATTTAAGCTCATCCTACCGAACCGATTTTGAAAAATCAAAAACTGTTCGAAAGATATCATTTGGGAATGATGCTAATTAAATTTAGGTGAAAATCTACCGAGCCGTTTTCTTGTAATTAACTGTTGAAAAAAAGTGTTAAATTTTCGTCCACATTTAAGCTCATCCTACCGAACCGATTTTAAAAAATCAAAAATTGTTCGAAAGATATTAGTTGGGAATGGTACTGATTAATTTTTGGTGAAAATCTACCGAGCCGTTTTCTTGTAATTAACTGTTGAAAAAAAGTGGTAAATTTTCGTCCACATTCAAGCTCATCCTACCGAACCGATTTTAAAAAATAAAAAACTGTTCGAAAAATATTAGTTGAGAATGGTTGAAATGTTAGTGGTGAAAATCTACCGAGCCATTTTCTTGTAATTACCTGTTGAACTTTTTTTAGCGATATACATCATGGTCTTATAGAACTTACTGTAATATTGCGGCCTTACGACAAGTAGGCCAAAAATTCGTCAAACTTTGCTAAAATTATTATCGTTTTTTTTTAAAGTAGGATTAATGAAGTATATTATTTACTCATTTTTTTCATTAAGTCGATTATTTACACATATCGGGAAGTTCATGTAACTTGCCTCAAGGCTAAATACCAAACCAACTAGTTTAATTTTTTTTCAAGATAGTTACAATCAATACTATCACCCCGTTCGAATTGACGTTGAGTTCTGGGACACGCTATATACATATATTATTTAAATTAAGCAACTAATCATAACTTCTGCCAAAGCATACGTAGTTTTTACGTAATTATAACCAAATTTATAAAAAGTAAGTTTTAAAATTTTCTTTCTGAGCATCAACGGATTTGAAGTTTTTCTTAACTTGGAAATCGTGCGGGTTTACTACAATTTGGACGTTCGTTTAGTTGCTAAAAGTTTTGTATTTCAGTTGAAACTTTGTCTTCTGAAGTTTCGGAATACTTTAATCCTTCACGAGAAATGGATAAAGACTTACAATTGTTTTGTTTAATTTTCATTCTTATACGATAACGGAAGAATTAAGCTACGAAGTGTAATTAAACTAGTCAAGCAAGAATTACAAATTCAAGATGTAACCAACGAAAACAAAATAAATAAAATATATATGTTATGTATATTTTTTAAGTAGCACCTAGAGATTGTTGACAAAATTTTATATTGTGCTAAAAACTTTTTCGTTGTAATTTGTATTGAAGCTAATATAAACAGTATCTAAAAATTGATTGAATTATATAAAAACATTATTTTTAATATAGCATAAATAATTCTACTAATTCTAAAGATACTTTCATTTCAATGTCAATCAAATGATTGAAGTAATAGATATCATAAACCTACAGCGGTTTAACAGTTTAATGAAATATTATTATTATTGGTTTACAATTTATTCCCTGAACCATTTCGGGATGCAAATTAGTTCAGGCTAAGTTATATTTCATACTTATTTATCTATGGTTACATTTCATTTATCAAATATAAAGCGTTGTGTTTAGAAAATAAACGAGTTTTATTATAGTTTCATAATTTTTTTTTACGATATATTCTTAATACATTCAGAACATTTACTATTTAACTATCGTTAAAATCAATAACTACTTGCGAAAACTTCATCAATTGTTGATAAAGAGACATTGATAATCTTATTCAGAAGTTGTTATATTTATTTATTTTTATGAAACATGAAATAAACTAAATAAATATATTTGAATTGAATATATAAAACATCATGTTTCAGACTGAATACAATAAGCATCAAAATACTATTGCACTTTAGAACGAGATTAGAGAAAATGATAAAAAAAATATATTTCATTTTGTTTGTTTATGTTATAAAAATAATACAACCTTCTGCCAAAATATTAGTAATTTAGCGCCATTTATATGTAATCAATGAAAATGTTGAATAACTTAAACAGTTTTCAATGAATTTTGATGAACCTTATTTTATTATCAAATTTAAAGCCTCACAATTTTTATTGCAGCTAGGTTAAAAAAAACAACGTCGATCCAATGACTCCCATCATTGTGCAAACAAAACTTTGCTCTTTGCATTGACCACATGTTGAGTAAAAGGCTCCCATGATTTGTTCAAAATTACTACTACAAAATATATTATTTATCATGCATTACTTTGTAAACAAAAACAATGAGCTCATCCGACCGTTAACCCACATAATTCTAAAATGATTGTAAAAGTGATTATAATTGGCAACGATACAGTACTTGTTAAAGGTACACACTAGGGAATGCTATACCGATGGAAAATTTTAATACCGGTATTTCGGTAATTTTTCAATTTAAAACCGGATAACCGGTAAATTACCGCCATTTTTATTATCTTAAACAAACGTAAATAAAATTGAATGTTACTAGTACAAATATAAAAAAATGTATATACAACTACAACTATATGCAACTAAGCAATAAAAACAATTAAACTAGCTGTAAGTGGAATTCTGTCTTAAGGCAATTATGGCATCGTGCCTTAAGTCAAATTGCTGGAACTTCCCGTACCGTAACGAAATGTTCGGGGAATACTGAATGTTTTCAAATAGATTATTATAAATATTGTAACATTGTCTAATATTTATAAGAATTATATAAACTGAATTGCAGAATTGAAATTATTTGTAAAGTATATTAGAACTATAGTCAGAATCTGAAATATTTTCGATATACAAAAAACTAAAAAAAAAAAAAAAAAATTGGAACAAATTTTTTTTCCAAAATCAATTATTTTGTTAAGGCAAGCAGAAAGTTTTTTGAATCATTTAAATCGGACGCTTAGTTCTCTCAAAAACTGCCATTTTTTACATATTTAGCTCCGTATCTTCAAAATGGCTGGGCCTGCCTTTACCAAAAACTAATAAACACTTCTCCCAATCATTACTAATTGAATGTTTTTTAGATCATTCTAATCGGATACTCCGTTCTCTCAAAAATTCGATTTCTATTTTCTGCACTCTTTGCTCCGTATCTCCGAAACGGCTGGACCTGCCTTTGCCAAAAACGAATCAGCTCTTTTCCCTATCAATAGGAATCGAATGTTTTTTGAACCATTCAAATCGGTTGATCCGTACGCCCGAAAACGTGGGCGAAAATTTTTTATGAAGTATGCCAAAATGTTCAGAAACCTTCAAAACGTCGAGAAATGTAAAAAATTTCAATTCCGATTTTTGGCCCATTACAATAACTTACCTTACGGGAAGTTAATAAAACAATAAGTTTATTTTTTTAATAATAATTTAACAACATTATATCCAATTTAATTAAATCATCATCATTATCGAGTATATTGAGTACTTTTTACCAAAATCAAACGTATGAGTAAGAAAGATAAAAACTCATAAAAGATCATATTACATTATTATAATAAACTGTACTGTCTGTATCCAATGTGTTAAATTAGCACAATCTCCAATATTTTTAAAAAAATAATTTTTCAACTCTAATTTAAGATCGGATACTTTGTCGAGATAAATAATAAGTTACTATAATTGTTGAGTATTGGTATTTAAAACAATGTGATGTTTCTATAGTATTTTCAAACTTCAGAATGTTTTCGAAAAATAATATTTTATAATTGTAATAAGAAGCAAAAATATTTAGTAATTATCATAATTTTTATGTATAAAGTTAGGAAAAAATAAAGATTACGCAGGTCTAATCTGTATGATATAAAATATTTTGGCGCAAATATCACTTAAAAAAACGTTATATTTTTACAAAAGATGAAACAAACATCATTATCTATCAGTCCAATTCCATTTATTGTAACACGATATGAAGCCCTTATTAAAGCAATAAACATTCAGTTTAATGACGAGTTGTGATAATATTTGACATTTATTTATCTTATAGAATCACTTAAAAATATAGCTATTTATGCGATTATGGTATTTAAAGATAAATTTGTTCCGAGAAATTTAAACTTTAGTGCATTATGTATCAAATAGCACTTATGTAATAATACCAAAAATACCGGTATTTTTGGGATAAATACCGGTAAAAATACCGCAGAAAAATCAGGCGGTTTACTGGTAATTCGGTATACCGGTATACCGGTATTGCATTCCCTAGTACACACTGTCGTTTACATTATATAACTAGATTCAGAAAATGAAAGATAAAACGGTGTTTACTATTGATAAAATAATACGCTGCGGCATTTTATCAAAAATAACATTTCTTTAAAATGATGCATATTTGCATACATACACACACACATGTATATACATACATATATATATATATATATATATATATATATATATATATATATACGAGGTGTGTTCAAAAAGTACCCGGAATTACTAATAATTAAATTTCGCGGGTCTGGAGTGTCTGATTGTCAAAATTTTTTTTTATTGTGTTGGTATACATGCCCCTAAAGTATGATGAAATTTTCAGCTATATTCACTGTTTACTTTGTCTGTGGTAGTCGCTAAGGTTCGACGTGTTTTTCTGAGCTCGGCGATTTTTACAATGGAAGAATTGAAAAGTCAAAGAATTTGTATTAAATTTTGCGTAAAAAATGAAATAAAGTGTTGCAAAGTGCAAAAATTCACCAGATATGGCTCCGTGTGACTTTTTCCTATTCCCAAAGTTGAAGAGACCTATGAAAGGACGGCGGTTTTCCTCGATTGAAGAAAATCGCTGAGAGTGCTCAAGGACATATCAAAAAGTGAATATCAAGGGTGCTTCGAAAATTGGAAAAAACACTGGCATAAGTGTATTATATCTGGGGGGGACTACTTTGAAGGGGACCACATTAATGTAGACGAATAAATAAATATTTTTTTGAAAAAACGAAAATTCCGGGTACTTTTTGAACAGACCTCGTATGTATATATATATATTATATAATATAACAAATATATATATATATTTATATATATATATATATATATATATATATATATTGAAAAAAAGCAATAAACTTACCTATTACTAAACCGCCAGCACCTTCCGGCGCGCCGGTTGTTTGGGGTTGCTGCTGACCTTTCCTTGGCCCAGGCGCATCCTCCAGCAAATCGCGCATGCAAAAATCAGTCGCATGCTCTACGAGCAGTTCCGCCACGTCGCCTGTACGATCCATTACCGCACATACTTCTTCAAACGTTCGATCAGAAAGTGACACTCCACCCCATTCGAGCACCTGAAATTCAGTTATATGATTTTTTAAATAATAATTTTAATCAGTAATTTAATTTACTGATTCTAAATAAATTAAATCAAGGCAAATTGCTGTAATTTCTCGTACCAAATTATCATTTTTTTAATTTTTGAAAATTAAATTTCATTTCATTTTTTTAATTTTTGAAAACTTTTTCGGAAAACAATCTCGGAAACCGTTGGATCTCTACGGTAATCTGTCCGAACAAACTTACATACCTACATCTGTTTTTTCTAAAGCATGCCAAAATGTTCAGAAACCTTTGAAAAGTAAAGATATATAAAAAAGTTAATTTTTGATTCTTTGCGACTGCTATAACTTATCCTACAAAATAATTAATAATCTAAAATTTTAAATTCATAAATATCAATAAAAGTTTTGATTGTAAAATAAAAAGAATTTGTCAAATTGAAAGTTATTCAGATTCTTCAATAACATAATTATTTAAATTTTCTATGATTTTTGATAATTTTTTGAAATTTTAGAATAAGCTATAATAAATTATGGCTTTAGTTGCAAATTATTAAGTAATTGCTCAAAATTGTACAAGAGATTCTAATAGAAATACTAAAAGATTAACCTATCACAAGAATCCATTTTATATTTACGGTCATATTTGTTGAATGGCAACTTTTATGGTGATCACCCTCATATTCAAGAAATTTAGCAAAGCCTGTCAATGCATCAAAAATATTGTTCTAGAAGGAGCTGAATATTTTTAATTATTATCATCACATTAACATCAAGGCAAATTGCTGGAACTTTCTGCCCCGTAATGAAATATTCGAGAATTATTAATTGCTTCCAAATAGATTATCATAAATAGGCAAAATATAAAAGCTAATAAATTGGTCGACGACGTTTATATATGCTTACATGAAGTAAACAAAACTAGATCAAGCGGAGTTACAAAAAAGGAACTGACTCATATTAACATTTTTCGAAGAATTATATAAACTGAAGGTAAACTTTAGGTAGAATTAAAATTAAAATCCAAATCTATAAATTAAAATCTAAATACTAATCGTTTCTTCACAAGTAAAACCTTTTTTTAAAGCATTAGAATCGGATGCTTTATCCTCTGAAAAAATTATATACTTACAATATTTTATTTTTACATCGTAAATCTACATGGTTTACAAAACTGTCATTCTATACCCATATAGCAATATTATTAAAAGCTTGATATCCTGTAAGGATTATAAAAAAGTGAAGAAGACATCCGAAATATTGTAAAAGTTTATTATTGAGAATATTCAGCTTGTGTCAAATATAATGTATCAAACATTTCTAGAGCAAGTGAGTAATTATCTCTATAAATACATTTTGCATTATTATATTATTCTTCAAGTGCATAATGATCAAAATGAAAGAATATGATTGGTTACTGCGTAAAAAGTCTAAGCTCCCTGTTGAAAATAAGTTGCTGCTATATGAATCAATAAACCAAACTGGACCTACGGAATTAACCTTTGGGGATGTGCTTACAAATCAAATATAGCTATAATGCAGAGAACTCAGTCAAAAATTTTACGTACAATTCTTAATTCTCTGTGGTACGTGACAAATGAAACCATTCACAGAGACCTCAACGTGAAAACGGTGCAATTAACGTTCGAAGAATTTAAGGAAAAATACAAACGCAAACTGGACTCACATTCGAACCCATCAATAGTTGACATTACTCAACCTTTTAGCATAAGGAGATTGAAACGACACTGGCTTTTAGACTTAGTCTTAGATTAGGTATAATGTAATATTATTATATTAATTGTTAAACTGAGAAGATCTCATTGGAGTTCTTCTTAGGAATTAGTATTTCCGATTGCTAAATAAAAAAGAGTTAAAACAAAAAAAAATAGAAAAAGACAAGCATATTCTGCTCAATCTTAAAGTACTCCAGCATTATTATTTGCATATATGTGTCAAATAATTTTCCAAGCTAGTTTCTGATTCGGTTTACCTTGTCTCCTTGTTGCAAACCTCCTTTGTCCGCTGGTCCTCCAGGAACAGTCCATACGATGTACGCAAAAAGTCTCCCATCAACTCCTGTTTTTCCACCAACCACGCGCATTCCAAAGCCTCTCGCTGAAACAAAATATATTTATGTTAATCTCATGTTCGCAACGGTCTTAGTCATTAAAACTGTAATTAAAAATTAAACGCAGCTCGACTTTCGACCCTTCGTAAATCTGGAAGTTAGACACGCGGTGTATAATTACTAAAATTGAAAAGTAACTAGGTGCAAGAGCCATTTTGTCCTAATACAAGTTGCAGCTAGTGGTGCATGGCATCGTGCGTTAAGGCAAATTGCTAGAACTTCCCGTACCAAAAATTATTTTTTTTGAAAAAGCTTTAAAAAAATTTGAAAATTTTGTAAGAAATAGATTTTGGAGAATTTCGAATTTTTTGAGAAAAATTGACGTTTATGAAATATTTTGATTTTTTATATTCCATTTTTTTTAAATTCTGAACTATTTTTCAAAGCGTAGCTGTTTTAGAAATGAAATATCGAAGCGCGTCGCTGTGTATGGCGTCTGCGTCTCTTTAAAAAGTACGGAACCCATGAAAATATAATCAAAATTTATACTTATTATTAAAATCTCTATAAAATATATAATAATTTGATGTGCATATGTCTAATGATTATTTTGACCGCTAAAAAGCTTTTTTTAACTTCCCATAGGGTAGTTATAGTAATGAGCCGAAAATCGAAAATGAAATTTTTTGCGTTTTGAAGGTTTCTGAACATTTTGGCATAACTCAGAAAAAATGGATGTGTGTGTGTTTTGTATGTCCGCATTTTTCGTCCACGTTTTCGGGCGCACGGAATTTTAATGGTTCAAAAAACATTCGATTCCTATTGCTAGGGAGATGTGCTGATTAGTTTTTGTCAAAGGCTGGTCCAGCCGTTACGGAGATACGGAGCAAAGAGTACAGAAAATAGAAATCGAGTTTTTGAGAGAACAAAGTATCCGATTTGAATTATCTAAAAAACATTCAATTTGTAATGATTGGGAGCAGAGGTGATTAGTTTTTAGCAGAGGCAGGTCCAGCCGTTTTGAGGATACAAAGCTTAATGTGCAAAAAATGGCAGTTTTTGAGGGAACTAAGTATCCGATTTAAATTATTCAAAGAACTTGCTGCTTGTTTCAACAAAATAATTGCTTTTGGGGAAAAAACATTTGTTTCTAATTTTTTTCATTTTTTCATTTTTTTTCTTTTTCAAAAAATAATTCCGATTTTAATTGTAATTCTGTTCTAATATACCTCAAACAAATAATTTCAACTTTGCAATTCAGTTTATATAATTCTTATAAATATTAGACAATGTTTTAATATTTATAAAATCTATTTGAAAACATTTAATATTCCTCGATCATTTTGTTATGGTACGGGAAGTTCCAGCAATTTGCCTTAAGGCACAATGCCATACACCACTAGTTTACTTTTTTTATTGAACTGCTGGACCTACACAAAAAATTAGTTGGATCTTCGTTTCGTTAATTTAAAAAAAAAAAACAGAATTACAATTTTTGACACTTTTTGATCCGTATCTTGGAAACGGCTTGATATGATCATATTATAAATATCATTTGAAAACTTTAAACTTAAACACACTCTGTTTCATTTCAGAATAATTTTTGTGAAACATATTAGATACGTTAGTAGAACCAATGTTCCTACATACAGTGGAAACTTTTTCCCTTCAACATCTATTGTTTAGTTTCCGCGGTATTTTGCTTAGTTCTTTTCTATTCACGATATCAAGAAACACCCGAAAGAAATAAAAAAACATATATTTAATTTTGTAAAGTTCTATTAAACGCGAGTGTTTTCTTAACGAATTGTTTAATGATCCGTGCAAGCATCCCACGATCTAGCCTTGTCATTGATTGCTTTTATTGTTCATGAGTGCTGAAGTATATCTACACCCTTGCAATAAATATTAGAGAAAGAGAGAAAAAAAATGGAAGATGAGAAGGCAAAAATCTGTGAAGTGAATTTGAAATCTGAATTTAAAATTTTTTCATTCAAGACGTAGCCTAGATACCATTTCATTCACTTAAGAATGATGTTATTTGAAATAGACAAAAATTAGATGTATTTTATCACAGTCCGTGGGTAAGAATTTTTCAACAATATATCCGGCCATATTTAAAATACATAACAAAAGTTCTTTCGTTGTATGGCATCGTGGCTTAAGGCAAGTTGCTGGAACTTCCCGTACCATAACGAAATGTTCGAGGAATATTAAATGTTTTCAAATAGATTATTATAAAAAAATACTATAACATTGCCTAATATTTATAAGAAATATAATAACTGAATTGCAAAGTTGAAAATATTTGTTAAAGTATATTAGAATTTAAGTCAGAATTACAATTAAAATCTGAATTATTTTCGATATAGAAAAAAAATAGTTGAAAAACAAATTGAAAAAAAAAATTGAACAAAAATTTTTTTTTCCGGAAGCAAATATTTAAACAAGCAGAAGGTTAAAACAAGCAGAAGGTTCTTCGAATCATTAAAATAGGACGCTTATAGTTCTCTCAAAAACTGCCATTTTTTGCACATTTAGCTCTGAATCTCCGAAAGAGCTGGACCTGCCTTCGCCAAAAATTAATCACCATTTCTCCCCGTCATTACAAATTGAATGTTTTTTGTATCATTAAAATCGAATGTTCTGATCTCTCAAAAACTCGATTTCTATTTTCTGTACTCTTTGCTCCGTTTGCGCCCGAAAACGCGGACGAAAAATTGTATCCATACATACATACACACACAACCATTTTTTCTGAGGTGTTTCAAATGTTCAGAAACATTCAAAACGTGAAGAAATGTTAAAATTTTCAATTTCGATTTTTGGACGATTACAATAACTTACCCTACGGGAAGTTAAAAATTTATTACAAATATCGAAGATGGCTGCTTGATATCAGACCGAAGCAAGAATTTGAACCCTGGATTTGCTGTTTATCGAATAGTACGCTTTACGCTGTGCCATGATACCTCATTCGAATAAATTAATGTTTTCCAAATACAAATTTAAAACAATTAAATTTTACGTCATCTGAAGAAAACATAGTGTTTTTACTTTGCCTGAATTCAGCTTTTACCCAAAGAATTTTGTACTTTTGTACTCGTGTGTGGTATTTTATCTTGATTGTTTTACCAATAGAAAATATTTTTGTAACAAAACTCATACAGTCTAGACGTAATAAAATTTATCTACCTCGTAAATGGTTTTTCTTCTATATGCGTAATGAATTCAATCAATATAATTCGTTTGTGTTATTATATCGCACGATTTTTCGGAAGAACACTTTGGAATTTTGTAAGAATGTATTTTAATTCGTTAATACAATAAAGTCTTTGTAAAAAATATTTCCATATAATTTGCATTTCACATTGGTTGAATAATTTAGCTATTGTTTTCTAAATTTGTTTCAAAATTAGAAAAAAAACGTTAGCCCATTAGCTGTTTCTATTTTCCCCGCTCATCAGGCAAAAATGAAAAAATGACGTATTCTAGAAAAATTATCAAAAAAACTAGAAAAAAAACATATTTCTATGATTAGGAGATAACTGGGAATTTTAACAAAAATAGCGCGATATTTGTTTGTTTGATACATGTTATGTGTTGTGATATAGTTCATTTAGTTTAAGCATTAAAACTGAACCTGGCGCTAGAAATCCTGTAGATCACTCTAAAATATTATGGAAAATGTGGTTGACTTATAAAAAATCATTAAATACAATTACAAATATTATAGGTTTGTTAAATTGTAAAATATTTGTTGGAAATCGCATTGATAATTTGTTGTGAAAGAAAAAAAATTATTTTCAATATAAACTCTGTTAACATTTCATCTGAATATTATTAATGAATATTCACTTTTTATTGATTAAGTCGATTAACTACACGAATATGGAATATTATGCAATTGCCCTAAGTCACTTGCTCTAATGTCACTTACACCCACTTTTTTACAATTCAACGCATATTTAATTCAATCAGCACATTTACTTCAATAATAACAAAAGTAATTGCAATACAAATTGTGCGTAGTATAAAAAATACTATTCACTATAGTGTCGAGCAAGATTTAAAGGTCCAAGAATAAAAAGATCTACCACCGATATCTCAAAAATAAGTAAAATTCTAACAACAATATTTGACAGTAGAGGGAAAAAGATGTATAATCAGCCATCACTTTTATTTAGAAGATATCAGGAGATAAACGACAATGTTTAAATTTTAAACAAAACTTTAGTTATGTAGTTTTAAACTTTAAAACTACATAACTAAAGTTTTGTTTTCGTTGCTAGTTTGCTTCTCAGTTAGTACTGGTGTAGTTTACAAGATATTAATATAATTTTTAAGTATGTATATTATAAGATTTATTGTTATCTTTTAGTTAAATTCAACAGTTTTTTTATATAAGTTCTATAAAAGCTATTACTGGGGCGGGGTAACAAAGGCCAACTATACCTGTACATTGGTAAATGCGTAAAAAATAAAAAAAGCAAATAAAAAAGTAAACTAAGTGTACAAAAGCAATTTTACAAGAGATGAAATTAATAAATAATAATAAATAATAAAATTAATGAATAGTTTTTCCAACTCTTTGCGAATATTTTTGGCAAAATACCAGATCATGATCATTTACAGTGGTGTAAAAATGTACTGAAAAAGTGAAATAATGTAGCTATTATTTTGTAAAATTCATTTGAAATTAAAATAAGACATTTTACCTGTTTACCCCCCGGCTTTTGCAATTCACCCACCTATGAAGTTACAAATTTTTGAATTTTTGAAGTGTTATTTTTCACAATATAATTGTTCAATGTCAATATCAAATATAAGCATCGGACACCGTAGCTATTACATGTTTTTTTGCAAAAATACTTCAACTTTGTCTACATTTTCGTGAAAGAAAATTCTCATTATTTTTCCTATTTAAACAAAAGGAAAAAAATTACGATTATTGAGTATCAACGTTAGTGCAAACTTTTGTGCTGTATACACATTTTTAGATGTAAGATGTAAGAAAAACGTTTAGAATTAATATTTAATTTATAAA